CGAAGGGTGCGTCTAGACGGGCAAGATTTTGCGCCAAAGCGGCTACTTTTGCGCAAAAAGTTGCCGCCTGTCTACACTGGCCACTTGAATTTGTGCAAGAGCACTGATGTTCGACTGTCAGAAATCAGCGCTTCTTGTGCAAATACTTTGACGCTTCCGCTCAGGGATAAGCCCTCTGGCACAAGAGGGCCAGTGTAGACAGGGAAGGAATTTCTTGCGTAAGAAAGCCCCGATGGTGAAAATGGCCACCGGAGCTTTCTTGCGCAAAACTGTATCTAGATTGGCACAAAAGCTTTTGCGCAAAAGCACTTTTTTGCGCAAAAGCATCCGTGCCAATCTAGATGCTCTTTTCCGCAAATGCTTTTAATGGAAAAACATTTCCGTTAAAAGCATTTGCAGAAAATCATACCCAGCTGGCTTTGCCCTATTATCCCTGGCAGGCAGAGAAAAGGAGAGAGCTGGGCTTGTTGGGGCTGGCTGATGCAGAGATAGGAGTTAGCTGCCCTGCCATCTGAGGGAAGGGTCACTAGCCTGCCAGTCACTGTCTCTGGAGCCCGGCACTGTCTCTGGATCAGAGCAGGTGGAGAAAGAGACCAGGGCACCTGGTCTCAGAGGAACCCAGGTGACAGAGCACAGAGACCTTGTGGACTCCTCCTTCCCTCTCCCCATCCCCCCCAGTTACAGCTGCTCCATCTGTTGGAACCCTGGACCTTGGCAGAACGCTCCAAAAAGTGGCCACCCAGGAGCATTTTCTTTAACTGTCCCTTTCTGACTATTCTGTTGCCAGCTCTAGTGTCCCGTAACAGACAGAGCGGGAACTTCCCATAATGCACTTGTCCAAACAAGAGCTCTGACAGGGCAGGGTGACGCCCATCACTGGCTCCAGTCCAGGAGCTGCAGAAGCCCGACCATGGAAGCCAGTCTCCCCGCTCCCCACCCTAGACTGAGACAGACACCCAGCCTCCTGAGGGAGTGGGGAAAGCTTGGGTCCTGGCCATCACTCTGTAGATACATCTCTATGGGGAAAGGTTGGGTCCTGCTATCCTGGCCATCACTCTGTAGATACATCTCTGTATTAATCATAAATCTCTGTATTAATCATTTTCGCATTAAAGTTTTAACTTCGTATCAAGTCCTCTTATATAGCTTTGCATTAAGTCCTTTTCATTGAAGTTTTAACTTCGTATCAAATCCTCTTATATAGCTTTGCATTAAGTCCTTTTACATAGAAACTTTGTATCTTGTAGAATAGCCCCTGAAAATAAGTAAGGTAAAGAGAGAGTCTTTGCACCAGAATAGATCCCTCCCTTTTTGCTTAACCGATTGCCCTGTTGAGTGAATGAGGTGTGAATGGATAAGAAAGACAAGCACCTCAGGACAGTTGCAAGGGTTGGAGAGGGGATGGAAGCCAGATCCAAGAACAATGAGACCTGTGAAGGGGGCTCACTGGAAGACAATTGGACATATGGATGCCTTGGGAGTCAGCAGCAAGTGCCTGCTTTTGGAAGCCCCCTCTGTGGAGATGTGTGTGTCAGCATGGAGACAACACCCATTAGACAGCACCACAGACAACTAACTATATGATAACACAGATTGGCTGTGTCTAGACTGGCAAGTTTTTCCGCAAAATCATCTGATTTTGTGGAAAAACTTACCAGCTGTCTACACTGGCCGCTTGAATTTCCACAAGAACACATACGATCTCATGTAAGATCGTCAGTGTTCTTGCGGAAATACTATGCTGCTCCCGTTCGGGCAAAAGTCTTTTTCTGAAAGACTTTTGCGCAAAAGGGCCAGTGTAGACAGCACAGTACTGTTTTCCACAAAAAAGCCCCGATGGCGAAAATGGCGATCGGGGCTTTTTTGCGGAAAACCGTGTCTAGATTGGCCACAGACGCTTTTCCGCAAAAAGTGCGTTTGTGGAAAAGCATCCTGCCAATCTAGATGCGCTTTTCCAAAAATGCTTTTAACGGAAAACTTTTCCGTTAAAAGCATTTCCGGAAAATCATGCCAGTGTAGACGTAGCCATTTTGTATATGCATATGATGATAGATTTGCATGAGAGAGGAGTTACTATAAATCTAAAGGAATCTTGCAGGAGGACCCCGGGTCTTGTCAACATGAGAGCACCAATCTGGATTGGCAGAAGCCTGGCTTCACCCCTCCCCGACCGAACTCACCTGGCCAGTGCAGTTAAGGGGAGCAACTACTGGTAACAAGACAACGGAGTGTGCTTGTGTGTGTGTGTGTGTGTGTGTGATATATCGCATGCATAGGATAAGGGTTGATTGCTATATGTGTATTAGCAATAAACATGCCCCTGAAAAGATCCCATGTGGTACTTTTAAGTACAACCCCTGGGCGGGGGCAGTGTCTCTCTGCCATTTTCAATCACTGAGTGGTTGACACTAATATTGAGGTCATGTGCGGATGTGCACCACCAGTGTAACCAAAAAGACCTAGAGCAGGGGTGGCCAACCCATTAAACGAAGAGAGCAGAAAAATGCGAAGAGCCACACACCAGGTTTTGTTTTTTTTAGCAATTTTTGTTGAGCAAAAAAACAAAAAAAAAAAGCACAGGAACCGTTTCTAGGGGCGCAGGGGCGGCTTCGCGAGCTGCGGGTTGGCCACCCCTGACCTAGAGATATATATTTTTAACCATTCATAGGCATGGAAAAAGCCAAATATTAAACTAAGGAATTAACAAGGAGGAATGCTTACAATGTTTATTCAGTACTTGATTTACCCAGCCTTCCTCGGGTGTGTAACTCAACAAATGGGAAATTACATTTATTTCATTGGTAAATAAAAGGAAAATGCAAATGTGTTATGGAAATGATGGTAATTTTCAAAAAGGTGGGCATGGCCCGGCCCCACGTGATGTAGTGGGGCATCTTGCTGGCCGCCAGGCTTGGGCTGTCCCCTACTGGCCCTGTCTGTGAGCATGACCCAGCAGGGGGGCCAGATACTGCCCTGATCGGTTCTGACTGGGGGGAGGGAAGGAGGTTGGAACAAAGGACGTACGTGGGGGGAGGAAGAGTTAGTCTGGGTCTGGAAACATGATGGAGACAGCCTAGGGAGGGGGCTTGGAGACTAGGGGCTCAGGCACCCCGCCTTAAAGGGTCTGTGGCATCCTAGCCCCCCCTCCTATTGCCACATCACGTCTATGCTGTGCTGTGTTCTGGAAAATCAATAAACCCCTTTCTATTCTGCAGGCTGGTGGAGACTGTTCCGGCTGCTACGGGGGAACCTGGACTGCACCGTCACACCCCATGAGGAGCCATGTGGGACTGAGGGGAGGAAATTTCCAGGCCTCGGGAGAAGCGGGAGGTTGTGGTGGAGGAAAGCCCCAAGGTCCCATGAGGAGGGGTGAGGGAAATCCCCATGCTCCAGGTGAAGCGGCAGTGCAGGGAGGGGGAAATCACTAGGCCCTATAGGAGCCTTATGGGGTGTGTGTGGGGGGGGAACCCTTCACATGGAGCAGTGGGGAAGGGGGAGTGTGCAGGCCTCCCATGGTGGGGGGGAATCCCCAGGCCTTATAGGGCGGGGGAAGGGTAATGCTCAGGACCAATAGCTGCAGCGGAGAAGAACCTTATCCGTAGAAGGTGGCCCGGCTGACATGTAGAACCCCAAACCCCAGCCGGTCAGTCTCATGCTGCTGTGGCTGTCCCCAGTGCTTACTCTTTACATTTTTTTTTTAATTAATGGAGATTGCTTATCTCCTAGAACTGGAAGGGACCTTGAAAGGTCGAGTCCAGTCCCCTGCCTTCACAGCAGGACCACGTACCATCCCTGATGAATTTTTGCCCCAAATCCCTAAATGGCCTCCACAAGGATTGAACTCACAACCCTGGGTTTAACAGGCCAATGCTCAAACCACTGAGCTATCTGCCCCCCCTGCACCCAGTCTCCCACCCCTACTCACTGCCCCCAATGGTGAGTGTGAGAATTGCATCCCTCCCCCCCTCTTACTCTCCCTTTCCATGTCGAGGGGGGAAGCCCTATTCCCTCCACTTCCCGTGTTCCTGGCACATCCAAACCCTGACCTTGCTTCAAGTTAAGCTAAGAGGAAGTTGCCCACCACATTTGATGGCCCTAGCTGTCACTGTGTAGGAGGAGTTCTTGCACAGACGGCAGGCGGACAGACAGACAGACATTTCATTTCTAAAATTTAGAGAGAGATTAAATCAAATAAAAGGAAAATTAACACTCCCCTTGGAATACATGTTACCATCCTTTCTAACAACTCAAGCTAGTAAACTCACCAAAATGGGGCATGCAGAAAACAGCTACAGAAATAAATCAAAGACATGACAATTAAGTAAAAGCATAAAAAATATGCATCACAGTTCCAATGTAACAATCCCCATAGATGAATAAACCTTCAGAATCTCCACTAAAGCTGCCCTCAAAAAATGAAGCATCTGCCAAAACACTACATAGCATGCTACAGACTTTTGCAGTTCACAAAATGAATCCTCTTGCATGCATATTAGCCACATATAGCTCAGCTTTAAGATGCTAAACAAATCGATGAGTGAACTAGAAACAGTCATGATCCTTCCAAATATTCATACAATATTTACTGACACTGGAATCCCTATGTGGATTTGCTGATGCTGTGAGCATTAGAGGAAGGTTCCCCCACATTCAAGCTCTTTTTTCCTGCGAATTATCCAGTAGGGAATAATGTGCAAGCTCAGACTGGAGCTGCAGTTATTGAAGCTTTTCCCACAATCCAATTACTTATGAGCTCTCTCTTATTGTGCAGTAAAATGCAGGACAATGTAGCACTTTAAAGACTAACAAGATGGTTTATTAGATGATGAGCTTTCGTGGGCCAGACCCACTTCCTCAGATCAAATAGTGGAAGAAAGTAGTCACAACCATATATACCAAAGGATACAATTTAAAAAAATGAACAAATATGAAAAGGACAAATCACATTGCAGAACAGAAGGAGGATGCGGGGGGGCCACGAAAGCTCATCATCTAATAAACCATCTTGTTAGTCTTTAAAGTGCTACATTGTCCTGCATTTTGCTTCAGCTACCCCAGACTAACACGGCTACATTTCTATCATTATTGTGGAGTGTCTGAGATCTAGCAAGGCTTGCTCTTCAAACGAAGCTTATTCCATAGAAAAAGCATTTGTCGATTCTGTCCCGTGTGGATTCTCTGATGTTCATGAAGTTATGAGCTGGAACTGATGCTTTTACTTTCATCCAAGCACTTACGGGATTTCCCTCTCATGTGGATTCTCCCATGCTTCGCAAGGCTTGAGCGTTGATTGAAACTTTTCCCACAGTCAAGGCATTTAAAGGGTTTCTCTCCTGTGTGGATTCTCCCATGCTTAATAAGGCTTGCACATTGACTGAAACTTTTCCCACAGTCCAAGCATTTAAAGGGTTTCTCTCCTGTATGGGTTCTCCCATGGCTAATAAGGCTCGAGCTTTGACTGAAACTTTTCCCACATTCCAAGCATTTAAAGGGTTTCTCACCCGTATGGGTTCTCCCATGGCTAATAAGGCCTGAGGGTCGACCAAAACTCTTCCCACAGTCCAAACATTTATAAGGTTTCTCCCCCGTGTGGGTTCTCTGATGTATAATAAGGGTTGACGGTGCACAGAAATTTTTCCCACACTCAAGGCATTTATATGGTCCCTCTCCTGTGTGGATTTGCTCATGGCTAATAAGGCCAGAGCGCTGACTGAAACTTTTCCCACAGTCCAAACATTTAAATGGTTTCTCTCCAGTATGGATTCTCCAATGCCTAACAAGGCTTGCACTTCCACTGAAACTTTTCCCACAGTCCAAACATTTATAAGGTTTCTCCCCTGTGTGGGTTTTCTGATGTATAATAAGGGCTGATGGTGTTCTGAAATTTTTCCCACACTCAAGGCATGCAGACGGTGGCTCTCCTGTGTGGATTTTCCCATGCTTAATAAGGCTTGAGCGCTGCCTGAAACTTTTCCCACACTGCAAGCATTTAAAGGGTTTCTCTCCCGTATGGATTCTCACGTGGCTTATGAGGCTTGAGGGCTGACCAAAACTGTTCCCACAGTCCAAGCACTTATAAGGTTTCTCTTCTGTGTGGATTCTCTGATGGACAGTAAGGGCTGAGGGAGCTCTGAAACTTTTCCCACAATGAAAGCATGTATAGGGCCTCTCTCCTGTATGGATTCTTCTGTGGCAAATAAGGCCTGAGAGCTGACTGAAGCTTTTCCCACACTCCAAGCATTTATAAGGTTTCTCTCCCGTGTGGATTCTCTGATGGACAATAAGGGCGGATGGAGCACTGAAACTTTTCCCACACTCAGGGCATTTACATGGTGGCTCTCCTGTGTGGACTCTCCCATGGTTAGTAAGGCCAGATCTCTGACTGAAACTTTTCCCACAGTCCAAGCATTTATAAGGTTTCTCTCCCGTGTGGATTCTTTGATGGACAATAAGAGCTGAGGGAGCTCTGAAACTTTTCCCACAATGAAAGCATGTATAGGGCCTCTCTCCTGTATGGATTCTTCTGTGGCAAATAAGGCCTGAGAGCTGACTGAAGCTTTTCCCACACTCCAAGCATTTATAAGGTTTCTCTCCCGTGTGGATTCTCTGATGGACAATAAGGGCGGATGGAGCACTGAAACTTTTCCCACACTCAGGGCATTTACATGGTGGCTCTCCTGTGTGGACTCTCCCATGGTTAGTAAGGCCAGATCTCTGACTGAAACTTTTCCCACAGTCCAAGCATTTATAAGGTTTCTCTCCCGTGTGGATTCTTTGATGGACAATAAGAGCTGAGGGGGCTCTGAAACTTTTCCCACAATGAAAGCATGTATATGGCCTCTCTCCTGTGTGGATTTTCTTGTGGCAAATAAGGCCTGAGAGCTGACTGAAGCTTTTCCCACACTCAAGGCATTTGTAGGGTCGCTCTCCCACGTGGATTCTCCCATGGATAACAAGGCTTGAGCGTCGACTGAATTTTTTCCCACATTCCAAACAATTATAGTGTTTCTTTTCCTTGGGATTTGCCTGCTGGTCTATGGTTTCCTTGGGATCCTTGCCTCCTCCCCCACACTCAGTGGATTCATCTGCTTTCTTCCGTGGGCTGTTACCCAGCTTCCTCTCTGACCTGTGCCAATTACTTCGAGTTTTTCTCTGTTTCAAGGACTGGCGGAAATTCCCTTCAGCTCTTCTCAAAAAGGTCCCCTGCGGTTCCATTTCCTGAGAACCTTTGAGCTGTGAATTCCCATCCTTGTCCGCACTCATCAGTGGATCACCTGCTGGAAAACAGAGAGAAGCCAGGCAGGAGTCACCGTCTGGGCTGATACAAAGGACAGAAGGGGAACAGCGAAGAGGGAAAACACAACCCATAACTGTTGGAGAGACTGAAAAATTGGATTCTGCCTTCACATCCCACCCAGACACTCCCAGGGAAGTGAAGTTGAGGAGAAAACTCCTGACAGCAAACAGGGTGGCTGGGAAGGCGTGAGCAATCTCTGTCATGATGACACGACACCTGCTGACCACAGCCTGACCTGGGTGAGAAGAGGCAGAGCTGAGGGGCTCACAGCACATGTGGAGGGAAAACCTCCAGTTCCAGATACTTTGTGTCCACGTCACTGACCCCTCACCTGCTTCACCAGAACCTCTTGGGATCTTCCTTTCCTCGGAGGCCTGGAGATCCAGGACCCACGGTTCTTCCCCTCCTTCCAGCCGGGCGATCAGGGCAGGTTTGGCAACAGGAAGTCCTGCTGGGGGGGTGAAATCAGGCCTGAGCTGCGGGCACTGAGGACTGGGGCTCTACTTCTCATAAAGGACACGACGGGAGTTTAAACTCACCCCTGTGACTTTTCTGGGGTCGTGAGATGGGAACAAGGGAGAGAGGAATGTTGGGGGGAAGGGGGGGAGATTTCACACCCTCACTAGTTCTCAGGATCTGGGGGACGTGCTGAAGCGCACACAGCTCTGGGGTTAAACCCCTGCCAATGTCTGATTCCCCAGAGCCAGTCCCAGGAAAGGAGGTGACCAGTGACCCTGTGTGCGAACGAAAATGAATGCAGATCACATCATACACTGCGCCCGCCCCGGTGACAGCTGGAGGAATGGGGATGCATTAGCATTTCGGTGAGGTCAGTAACTCTCCTGTCCACTGGAAGAGGCGAAAGGCTCCCACACACTGGAGCTGTGGACTACACAACCCACTCCCTTCTCATCTCAGTGATCAAGGAAGAACCTGACCTGATGCAGAAATGCCGGCCTCATGGCTTTGTTAGATGAGGGCCCAGCAATCCTTACCCAGTGAGGCCACAGTCTCATAGTTCTCCTGCATGACGTCCCTGTAGAGGGCTCTCTGAGCGGGGTCCAGCAGAGCCCCCTGCCCTGCGGTGAAATACACAGCCACCTCCTCGAAGGTCACCGGCATCTGCAACAACAGGGACCTCCCATTCAGCGCCTGCCGCCCCAGCCACAGCCCCACTAGTCACAACGGAGGAGGCCTGAGAAGCAGAATCCCACCCCACCCTGCTCAGAGTAGCCTGGAGGCTCCAGGGAAGAGAGAGAAGGGGGAGAGCTCCTTGTGCCTCCCAGCAGATGGAGCAGCAGGGACGTCTCGCCAGTCACAGGCTGCCGTGAGAAGCAGAGCTCTGGGCAGGGAATAGGGACAGGAATCCCTTTGTACTTCACTGCCTAGGGGGTTCAGGCTCAGCGCTCTGGTCTGTTTTCCCTGACCAGGGAGTTGGTTTCCTCTTTCAGAAATAGGGAAATATTCAACCCCCTTCCCCAAGGAGCCTCTTTATAAATCAGCCCCCAAGCTGAGCATGTCCCAGGAGGTTTCACATACCCTGCCCTACCCTGTGTATTTCCTGCCCCTCCCACACCTACAGAAACTCTCCCCAACAGCTCCCCTCCCCGCCCCCCTGCCCCGAACAACCCTACCTGAGCTGGCTCCAGCACAGCCATTTCCCTGTCCCGCCCCTGGTGACAATCTGGAACAAAACAGAGTCGTTACTCTGCAGCCTGTCAGGGTGAGAAGGGCAATTGGGGAGGTTTCTGAACTAGCCCTAGACCATGTCACATTTAGGGTTGCCAGATGTCTGGTTTTCGCCCGGACAGTCCAGTACTTGTGGCTCCTGTCGGGTAAAATAAAACCCAGACAATGTCCAGTATTTTCTGTTTTTCTCGGATGGAACGCCAGAGGGGACATTTTCCCCCCACTGCATCTGGCAGGGGGAGAGTTTTTTTTTTTTTTTTTGCTCAAGCAATTTTTTTCCCTGTCATGTTCAGGATTTTTTGTGAAAGTGTCTGGCAATCCTAGTCACTCCCCAGTTTCCTTCCCTGCAGACACCCCCCCTGACCTCCGCCCTGCTGGGAAACCCTCAGTGAGGTTATCATTGCACAGACCTGCCCCCTCCCATGGAACCCAACCCACAAGACACGGCCAAACCCTCCCAGTGACAAAATCTCTGCGCCAAATGTGAGAAAGCAGAATCGAAGGCACTGCTGGGGGGAGGGGAGGGGAGGAGAGGAGAGTGGAGGGTTCCCCAACACTGTCCCCAGAGGCAGAAAATGACTTTTCCTTTCTCTGCGCCTCACCTTGTCCAAGGATCTGCCTGGGTTAAGGGGCTGTTGGGAATGGAGCTGGGAACCTCGCTCCCCACCGATTGCTCCAGCTGCCTCTTTCAGTCTCACCATTCCCCCTTCTGCTGGGGAGAGCTGGTTACTGCCCTGTCGTTCCTGGCGGTGTTTCCCCTCCGTTAGCAACTGTCCCTGCTCCCAGCAGGGGTGAGCCTGGAGGCAGCAGCTCTGGGACTGGCAGACCCCTGGGAGCAGAGACGGGGCAAGCAGGAGCCATTTCTGCCACGCCACCAGCACTTTCTGAAAGTTTTCTTCCATCCCCAGCACTCTCTGGCTCAGGAGGCTCTGGCGGCAGCAGGGCCTGGGACTGACCTAGTGTCCTGATCCCAGACACAGCAAAAAGTCCCACCCCCCGCCCCTCGTGGCTAGGCAGAGATGACCTGGCCCAGCACAGACCCCACTGGGCAGCAGCTGCTCAACCCAGGCCTCCAGACCACAATGGAGGCAGCAGCCTCAGCCCCAGGCGCCCAGCTGGCTCTATGGGTTCCAGTGTTCTGCACAGAGAGACTGACATCAGCCCCCTTTGCCTTAGCAATGACCAGAGCCCTCTGGGCCAGCCTGGCCCGTGCTGAGCTCATTGGCCCTCTGCACCCGGCGAGAAGCCAGAGACTCAGCATTTCCTACTAGAGCCAGAACCAAACCTGAACCATCCTGTTGTTTTACCAACTGACCCTGAACGGAACTGGGTATGTGGGGGGCTGGGAGAGGATCCAGCTATGATACAGATTTAGCCTTTCTTTAAGCTCAACGTTTCAAAAAATTAGTGTCCTGATCATCATTGTAAGAGACAACGTGTACACACACCACGGGCGGGTGGTTTTTCAAGAACGGGAGCCATCAACTTTTTCACGGGCTGAACCTGAATCGTCAGTGAACTGGGGGAGGCAAGACAGAGCTGGGAGGGAGGGAAGCTGAGCATGGAGCTGGGCAAAATGTCACTGAACCAAGCCATGAATGCAGATGGGAAGGGTTAAGTTAGAAATAACGAGGCCGTGAATCCAGCGTCAGACAGGACTGCTCTTGAAAGGTGAATGGGAACTTCTTCTGAACACTGGAGAAATCTCTACAAAGGAAACAAGGAAAGGCCCCCAAAAGGACTGGGCCAATTCTTGATTCATTCGCTGATGATCCAAGTCTTCCTGGCTGCGTCTAGACTGGCATGATTTTCCGGAAATGCTTTTAACGGAAAAGTTTTCCGTTAAAAGCATTTTCGGAACAGAGCGTCTAGATTGGCACGGACACTTTTCCACAAAAGCACTTTTTGCTGAAAAGCGTCTGTGCCATCTAGACACGCTTTTCCGCAAAAAAGCCCCCATCGCCATTTTCGCGGAAAACAAATCTGAGCTGTCTACACTGGCCCTTTTGTGCAAAAGCTTTGTGCAAAGGGGACTTTTGCCTGAACGGGAGCAGAATAGTATTTCCGCAAGAAGCACTGATTTCTTACAGTAGGAAGTCAGTGCTTTTGCAGAAATTCAAGCGGCCAGTGTAGACAGCTGGCAAGTTTTTCCAGAAAAGCGGCTGATTTTCCGGAAAAACTGGCCAGTCTAGACACAGCCAATAAGAAAGAAAACAGACTAAACTACAGGGAACATCAGAAAACTGTCATGCTCAAATTGCATCAACTAGCCCAAATTGTGCTGGCTATTCCACCAACACCAGCATTGCAAAACAATGCCCAGGCCTCATGTCTCCCTTCTATGGCAGGGGTCCAACAGGGCAAAGCAAAGCTATGTCTACACTGGTGCAGTCTTGCACCAGATATGCAAATGAGGCTAAGCGTGGAATATCGCTAAGCCTCATTTGCATATCTAATGAGCCACCATTTTGCGGAAGAGGCTCTTGCGCCAGAAGTTCTATGCAAATGAGGCTCAGTAATATTCCCCGCTTATCTTCATTTGCATATCTCTGGCGCAAGACTGTGCCAGTGTAGACATAGCCAAGATGTTTAAAAACATGATTTTAGGTAGTTCAGACAATTCAGACAAATAATCAAGTTGACAACAAAAAGAAACACAAGGACAATGCCTGTAAAAACAAGCCACTTTGGGGCACCTGAGAGACTAACAAAAATATATAAAATCACGAGCTTTTGGGGGTAAAATCGGAATGGAATGCTCATGACCTAACGTATTGGTCAGTCTTCAAGGTGCCCTAGGACTACTCGTTTTTTAAGTTACGAACTAACATTTTTTAATTCCTGTAAAGCTAAAAAATAAATCAGTCGTCAGGAATCCAAACGGTTGCCATTGTCATTTGAAGCTGCCTTTCTCTCAGTTTGCCCCCACTAAGTCTGAGGTAGGATTTCAACAGTAACTGAACTTTTATTTTTATTTCTCTCTGGAGGCTTGAACCGGAAATGAAACCGAACGTCCGTGAACAGGAGCTGAATTGAAACCAAATCCCGATTGGGCTCCCTGCCTGCTGCTGCTGCTTGCAGTGACTCTCGTGAGACACCAAATCCTGCACAGGAGCCGGTTCAGCCCAGTGCTGTTAGCCCCAAACAATGAACATAGGACAGGAGTGAGCTCCCGATTTATGAGACCGATTGGAAAGAAATTAGAAACTGACTAGGGAGCAGGCAGAGAGGGGATATTTGCCTTGTAAATTCAGAGCCCTTAGGGGGAGCTCCCTGGCCTGCCACCCCAATGCTTGTGGGACCGGTTCTAGGGAAGCAGATTTTCCACTGGCTGCTGGGTGGGGCATTTCTTCCCCCTCCTCTTTCCCATGGGCTGGGGGAGCTACCAGCATCTCTCTCACCATCCTCCTCCCTTCCCCTGCCCTCTGGCTCGCCCCTCCCCAGCCAGGCTGTTCTTGCTCCAGTCCCACTTTCCCTTACCTCTCTTTGCTTTCCAGGGTTAAATGTTTGCTGGTTAAGACCTAAATGGACTGCTGATGGGGTCCGCCTGGCCTGTGCATGAGGGCATGACAAGCCCAGCTTCAGTGGCCCTGCCTGAGCTGCCACAGCCTGAGGAGACTGATATCCCTGGGCTGCAGAGAGAGGGCTGGGGAGGTGAAGTAGTTGCAGGCAGGGGTGGCAGGAACATTGCAGATTCCCAGAATGCCCAGAGCCTGCCTATGGCCCCGGGAGGGAATGTGGGTAGGGGAGGAGTCTGAGGTGCAGGCTCTAGAGCAGGGGATTAGGATGCAGGAGGAGGGGCAGGCTCTGGGAAAGAATTTGGGTGGGGGAGAGGGCTTGGCATGCAGGCTCTGGGTTGGGGCAGAGCATGGGATGCAGGAGGTGGAGAGGAGAAAAGGGAGTTTGGAGGCAGGAGAGAGTGTGGGTACAAGAGGAAGTTTTTGGGGGGGTGGGAGGAGAGTTGGGGAAGTAACACAGAAAAGATAAAAGGGTGAGAATGCAGCCAAATAGCTGCACATCAAAACCCTTGTGGCTAGTTGATTGTGTGTGGAAGGGGAACAGAAACTGGTGCCTTTCTGGGTTATGATGGAGACTTGTGCTTCCTATGGCAACTATATGGCTCTGAACCAAAGAGTAAACAAAAGATTTTGATTCACTTTGATATGTAGATGTTGAAGCAGCTATTTATCTTAAAAATCCTAAGCCAACAAGTATACAGCATCACGGAGGGAAGAGGTCTCCCTCTGCCGACTTGTTTTCTGGCACTCCCAAAGAGGTTTTATCAGTAACTGAGAGATTTGAACAGAGACTGGAGGAGACTGATCCATGGAAAAGCAATGAGCCCCAGACACACAGCTCAGAGCTGTGGGAGGGGAGAGGGAGGGAGAGAATACCGAATGGGGGAGGTCTGAGCAGACAGCAGAAATATGCACGAGGAGAATACCGAATGGGGGGTCTGAGCAGACAGCAGAAATATGCACTGGCATTAAAAGCAAGGAATCTACTGGAGACCTGGAAGGGAGCAAATGGCCCAGGTCTAAAGTCAAAGCAGCTACAGATTACTGCAGCACCTGCAAACGGTCACACAGAATGATAAGTGAGCCCGAGACACACAGCTCAGAGCTGTGGGAGGGGAGGAGGAGAATACCGAATGGGGGGTCTGAGCAGACAGCAGAAATATGCACTGGCATTAAAAGCAAGGAATCTACTGGAGACCTGGAAGGGAGCAAATGGCCCAGGTCTAAAGTCAAAGCAGCTACAGATTACTGCAGCACCTGCAAACGGTCACACAGAATGATAAGGTGCAAAGAGGATCCTGCTGCCATGGGGGGAGGCAGAGAAGCAGAGAGCAAAGGGAAGTGCAGCTTCTGCAAAGGAAACTTGTATTTTCCCCCC